CCAGACTGGGGGGGGGCCCCCCCCCCCCCGATCCGCGGCTTCCCCTACTGTCTCTCTCCTGCCGGAGAGCACCAGTTTCAGCATAATCTAGCCGACTGACTTCGTCGGTGCCGCGAGGAGACGCCGCGTGCTTGACGTACCTACGCCTGGCGAACGCGGGGAGTCACTGGAACGCTACGACGTGGCTGCGTAAAGTTGCCCAGCGGTTCCCAAACCGGCGCGAAAAACGCGACACGAAATATACAGGGTGATCTTTTATTAGCGAAACGGAAAGCGAATAATACCATATAAGAAAAAATAATAATAGAAACATGCAAAGAAAAATTTTTCTGCACGACAATTTGCTTTTGAGAAACCCTCGGATTTGAAAATTAATTGCATTTTTCCTCTGCTATCAGCTTGCAATAACCTCCAATGATACATTATGCGTGTGTGTATATGTAAGTTACACAATAGATCCATAAATTTGTTTCAACGATTATCAAAAAATGAATAAAATATTAGATGTGCAAATTAAAGTGGATAACGGATTTTTCGACTCTTCCCGCACACAAAATTTCTCTTTGAAAAATTTTTGTTTGCGTCATAAACTCGAAAATAAAATAAAATTTGTGATAATCTTAAATTTAGATTTTATAGTTGTTAATAATGCCACTGTTTCTCTAAGACTGATTTATCTGATAAATTAAAAATTTTTTAAATAAAAGAATTTTGAGGGAGATGTTTGATATTTCGAATTGTAAAAAATTAAGAAAGAGAGAAAGAGAGAGAGAGAGAGAAAGAGAAATACAACCATGTATTATATATGCATTCATGAATATTAATTTACTGATCGATAATATAAAACATGTCTCATTTAAATAATCACTTTTGATTGACTCACGCGTGGAATATACATACAGTGTATATGCGATTTGAAATTTTCAGAATGCTCTCTTTTCTCTGTCACTTGATATTATCTGCTATTGAATAAAGAAGTCAATCAAACTGGTTGACTTCTACTATAGCACAAAATGTAATCGCAACACAATTGCTGCTGGGAGTTGCTGCGAGTTGAAGCAGAAAAAGATGAGAATGGATGAATCGACTCCCCATATATGCAACCATTAAATTGCACCTTTCGAGCCAACGCTACCTTGTGTTATTGCAAAAAGCGACCGCAGCTATGTCAAGGATGTCGATTGGGCCAAAAGGAGCTTCAACGATGAGAAATTTCACTTTGGTTAATGGACCGATGAAGCGTTCCGCTAAATAACTACACAATGCATTTTTATTTTCATTTCAATGAAACGCGCTAAATCGAATCCCCATTTTATCAATGCTTCAACGTCGCGTATCACGGATCCGGCGAAAATTCTCGGTAAAGTACGCTAATCAGCCGTGTTATTATCTGGCGTATACGTTATTATCCCGTCGCTGAATTGATTCGATTAAATGCGCGATATTGACTCGCGTTTCTCGTCAATGAGTGTCGCTGTCTCGTAATTGAGTACCACTGTGTGAGAGTATTATTCTTACGTGCCATACCGCTCGAGTTTTACTCGCGAATACACGGGACCGTCAGGTACAAAAACCGCCGCGAGCGGTTTCTTCGTAACTCTTCCCTGTCGGTGCGGGGCTTGTAAGTTGTGTGTACATCAACGGCGTTACACGTCGTCTTAATTAAGACCAATGGATCGTTACATGTTTCGCGTTGTCGAGCGCGACCTGAACCTGGGACAATTCTGACGTTTATGCGTGCTTCATTCGAAAAGGAAGATAATATTTTTTGCGCCCTCAAATTATTTGTATATTTTACGAAAAAAAAAAAAAGAATTTCAAGTAATTGAGAGCTGATAAATTTAAAAACCTGATTTTTTGAGCCGTCGATAAAAATACAAACATTTCATTGCGCTCTCTATGTGCTTCCATTATTTATATTTGTTAGAAATTGCATACACGAGAGTAAAAAAAATATTTTGTTATTATTTTATCTACTTTAAAGATTTGAAGAAATGTTTATATTGTACAAATAAAATTAATTGTGATAATTAAACGCAATATATGTGTGTATGTGTGTGCAGGATGCAAACGTTTGCTTTCCATTTTTCATCGAATGCTAATAAGTTTTAAACAAATTATCGACAAATTATGTTCGAATACTCATAAGTGTGACTTTACGCAAACAGATTTCTGATATTTGTGTAAATATAAATGTTAATTAGATGAGCGATATAATCGATCGCGCATACATTCCGGGAACCATTCGCGTGAATTAATTTGCTCGAAAAAACTACCGACGTGAATTCATTATCAGTAAAAGACGATGTGCAAAGACACGATTATAGATAATATTTCATGTTAAACCAAACAGATGTATAAATATATATACATACGATTGTTAAAGTCACAATTTATCTGTTTTTAGCGAAACGCTTTTCCCTTTATAAGCATAATTAATTATTCGGATCATTACTTGCGACTGGCATCTAATTAAATCGTATTAACTTCTGGTATATATTTGCGCTGTTATAAAAAAAATAACAGGGATGTCATTAACCATTGTGATCAAACGGCTTTGATAGATTTTACGCGGAGCACTTATATATTATCGCGTTTAATCGAATAAAACTATATGAACTATATTGGCTGCTTTGTGCCGAGGGAGTGCCGAATTAGCTCGCGGCGTGGTTTTCATAAAGCTCCGAAAAAAGCTCACCGCTTTGTCGGAATTCGATGAAACGTGCGCTGTTTAAAATAATTCCAGCCGTCTTTCTGCATTAAATTAACAGTTCTTTGTAAAAATTTATATCACAGACGCCAAACACGCGAACGAGAATAAACATATTCTATCTTTTAAAAAATGTGTTTATCTGAAAGACGAGAGAAAGAAAAATCGTCACTTTTATTCAATGTCGTTAATTTCGGACTATGCGCCGAAATGTGTAGTAAACGCCAACTGTCAGTAAATAAGAGGACATGTTATTCGCACGATTCGCCGATGATGCGCAAAAAAGAAATTAAACTGATTTCTTCAACGCAGTGGTCTCGCTCGATAAATCCTCTTAACTGGCGATAAATGACGCATTTTATCGCACTCCGTGCGAGAAAAATTGTACGGGCACGCATCTCGTACAGTGCAATCTCTCGATCAAGTATCCAGATTATGAAATATATCGCAATTGCAATTTTTTTGGATAAATGTTTTTGCCCGAAATCGATAAAAAGTTTCAGAATACCGTTTCTATGAAAAAAAGAAGAAGAAAAAAAAGCGCTCATAAATTAATTTCAGTGTAATCACCGATGTTCAATTTTTTATTCAATATATATTAGCTTACGTGCAATATTATCTATTCTTTGCGATTTGTCTTCAGATTACCGGTAAAATTATGCTAATCTTAAGCAAGAAATGCGTATCGCGCCGTTATTGAAGATTTATTGTTAATATCCTGTGGATATTTTATTTAAAATTTGCCCTTTTTTCTTCCTTTTTATTTTTTATTCTCCTAGTTTCTTTAAATATTTTTATACATATAAATATTAAAAATTCTTTGATATTTATATAATTAGCTCTATTTCTTTTTGTATATTGTCATTTTTAAAATATTCTTTGTAATATAATCTGCATTTACAAAATTTTGTGTAAAAATGTTTCCAACCAATGTCGAATTTATCTAAATATCTCTGTTCACTGTTTTGTAAGTTAATATATATACTCTCATGTTCTTTATATCAATTGCTATATAATATCTAAATTTGCACAGACTGCAGGAAAAATAAATGATCGAAATGGATGTGAAAAAAGTTTTTCGGAAGTATCTTTAGACCTATTGTTTAAATCTACGCTTTGATTCATATATATCTCTCTTTTTGTAGACTTTTGTTATTTTTGTAAAATCCTCGAGACATTGTAATTTATTAACATGTATAAAACTTATTGAAATACATGAACAAGGTTCCGTTTTTCTATCTCGTGTATCACAATATAACCATAACACCTTGAAGCTTCGAAAGAAGGAAGGCGCGTCATCCGTTCGCAGTGACGTTTAACCGTACTCTGTGGGAACGCGAGAGATGCAACGAGCGGCAGAAAAGTGCGTCCGCCTCGTCGCCGTTAGCCTGTGTCGAGAGTGCGTGCGTACCTGTATACGTGTGTGTGTGTCGGAACGCACGAGTGTGCGCGCGCGCGCGCGCAGAATGGAACAGAACGCGAGAAACAGAGGAGATGAGAATGGCCAAGAGAGCCTGCCTCTTTCTCTCGTACAGGCAGGTAGATACATACATAGACCCGTGTAACGAATCGCCATACGACACGCTTCTTCGAGGAAATAATTTCGCGTTTCTCGGGAGGAAAAAAAAAAAAAAAAAAAAAAAAAAAAAAAAAAAAAATCCGGCGAGCGAGATTTTGGCGAAACCTCGCGCAATCAGAGAAACAAACACCCGAGACGCTGGCTTTTCATTCTACGAACGGCCGGCGCGACGCTGCACGCTGTTTCCTTCGCGACAAGTCGCAGAGGCGAAAGGAATGTTACGCGACAGACACGATCTCGCGCCGTCGCCGCTGCCGCCTCCGAGATCTCCTCCATCTCTTCTTCCTCCCGCGCTCGCGAAAAGAGTCCGCGAGAGGCGGGAACGTTTCCGAGCGACTGGATGAATATTCTCTCGGAATATTTCTGCGACTCTATACGTTCCCTCGAAAATACCCACGGTTACCGAGAATCTATCTTTCGCTTTGCGCGGAGACACAAACCCGATATTACGCCGAGAACGAGAAAGAGGGAGAAAGAAAGAGAGAGAGAGAGAGAGCGAGAGAGAGAGACGGTGGGACACAGCGTGCCTGTCTATGTTCTCGCCCTCTCTCCTCTCTCCTCTCGCGGTCACTTCTCCTCGTTCTCCTTCTATTCCTCGCACCTCCCACTCGCTCGCTCGTTCTCTTTCTCTCTCTCTCTCACTCGTTTATTCGCTCGTCAATTCTCTTTTTCTCCGTCTCATACGGCGTACCGTAAGACTTCGGGGTCTGACGTGAATCAAGCATGACATTGGCTCGACACAACAAAACTTGAAATCTCACTGACGTATGTACACACGCACATATACGCACGCATGAGGCCACAGCGCGGAAAGAGGGGGAAGTGTATCTGGCGATACACAACACGAGCGGCGACGACGAGGACGAGGACGACGACGACGATGTCGATGATGACGGCAACGGTAACGACGACGTTGACGTTGACGTTGACATTGACGTCGACAATGATGAACGTACGAGATACACTCGCCACGGCAATATATCGACGCGAATATAGGTTAACGTTGATAGCGCGACGGTGGTCGCGTTCTCGCTGTCGCTCGTACTCGCGTCGTCGGCGACGTGTGACGTACGGCGAGATGCCGGCGGCCACCTAAGGTCTCGCTTCGTTCTCCATGATTGGCGAGCCGAGTGGCGCGTCGGGTCCTTTAGAATCCATCGGCACGCACCGTTCGTGGGATATCTCTCTCTTTCGGCGCTGGAAATCGCGCGCGCGCTTACGGATCACTCACCAGTGCGAAGAAATTCGTGTGGCAGTCCTCCAGGCTGGCGCCGTTGGTTTGATGCGACGGATGCGTCATGGCTTCTCCATTGTACGCCGTACACGCATTAGTCTAACACTCTCGGGCGGCAGCTTCGGCGCCGATATTCCCCCGGTCACACGAGAAATCGCGGAACGGCGGAGCCACACCGCGCTTATTCACTCGACCCGTACATTTAGGAGGATTTTCACTTCTCAATGGCGACCGTAAAATGGCGGCGGGCGGCGATGGGAAACAACAAGCGCAGCCGCCGGGTGCGCCCCCTAAAGCTCACTGCCGCAGTTCTAGTTGCCGTCGACGGCTACCGTCGCTGCTGCCGCTGTTGCTGCTGCTACCACCACCACTACTACCACTGACTCCACTGACACTGACACCGCGACGGCGACGACGGCGACGACGAGCGTGAAAAAGATGGCGGCGCTCATCAGGCATGGCTCGTTCGCCAACGCTTTTAGAAGTACCTCGGCTATACTCGTCGTTAACACGGTCAGTGAATAAATCTCGGCACTCTCGTACACGCTCGTATATACTTGCCACTCGCGGGTCACATATACGTACGTGACGAACGAGACGATTCGCGTACACTCGATACGCGCGTCACCACTAACGAGATGGTCATTCTTTTTTTTTTTTTTTCACAGGCGACCGCGCGTCGCGATATCGCCCGGCACAAGAAGAGCAAGGCCGTCAAACCGGTGGTGAGGGCGAGGATAGATTCGGCCGGAGAATCCTTGGCCGCTCGCGGGTAAGCACGACCGCGTCCAAATTCTCGCGTCGCAGCTGTACGGTAAAATTGGCGTTACGTCGCGGCGCTGCCTGACTAACGGGGGCCGCACCGCGGCCATATTACCGTTTGCCACCACTCCCTCCGCGCGTCGACCAATCGTCTGACGAATCTGACAGGTCCGCAGGGCCGTATATCGCTCCCCTCCCTTATTTATATCGGGACGCTACGCGTCGAGGCACGATAGCAAAAAAAAGAGAAAAAAGAAGAGAAAAAATGTCTCGAAACTTTCAACTCGATTTGATGACAATAGTTTTTTATGACTGATCGATTCGCTTAATGTTTATGTTCGTTTACTATTTACGTTCGCGCTCTCGTAACGCGTTTCCTTGTGTACCGCTATTCACCGAGCAAAGATCGTGACGCAACTGATATCTTTCGAAACGGAGCACGAAATATAAATAAAGAGAATGAGATTGTTTTGATTTTTGTCTATGCAAAACATCGATCAATTAATGTTTCCAATTGATATGTTGATATAACAAACGATCGATTATTTTTTCTCGAAATCTATCTTGGAAAATTATGACGATACTTTGCGTTTACGATAATTGATTATCGTTTATGAAAGTTACGAGGCCGAGCGTTTTGCAAGTTTGTCCGCGGGGCACTTAGCGCACTAAAAATACGACACTGCTTAACGAGAAACAATACGCACGATGGCAGCACCGTACGGTCAACGGACATCGATCTCCTCCCTCCTGCCCTCGCGTCCCGCGTCTGACCCTTTTGTCCCTCATCGCGTTGAATTTTTCGTTCGCGAAAGAGCAATCTTTTCCGGACTGCGCGAAAAGTTTGAGGCAAGTCTTATCGTGATAATAACCGCGCAAGATTATGTCGATCGCTGATACGTGAAATGGATGTAGACGCTCATAGAGAACGAGAAATAAAAAATATACAAATAATAAAATGTCTTAAAAACATAAAAAAAAAAAAAAAAAAAAAAAAAAAAAAAATATTCTTCCTATCCTCTTTTTTTCTTCATATTTCAAGATTTTTATTTCAACGAGCAGTAAACTGTCAGTATTGGTTGAAAGATCTGAGAAAAAAAAAGATTTATCTTATAACTGTAAAGCTAATATCTTGTCTTGAACGATTAATGTCAATTTGAATTCAAGTTATAATAATTGAGAACTTTTCGCGCGTCACGATATACGATTATTTAAATATGGTCGATAAAATAATTTTAAAAAAATTGGGAAAACCAATATACAATTATTAAATATGATTGATAAAATAATTTTAAAAAAGTGGAAATATCAATTAGATAAATTAGATATCATTCTTTTAGATTTTTGAGGTCGCAGAAAGCTTATGAACCCCCCAAAGATGTGGTTGAGAGAATTGATAAAATCTGCGAGAGTCAAGCCATCTCCACGCACGATGACACGAAACTAGAAGACCCTGTTCTTCGTTTCAAACTATTTGTCGCCTGTGAGGGGGAATTTAAGCATTCCATCCCGAATTCGTTGCTTCATACCATCGATAATATCGGTTAGCAAAATTTTTTTAGTGTACTTTAAAATTGATTAATAACAACAGATAATAATATGAATTTGATTGCATAGATGACTTGAAACAGTTTTATACGACATCGGTGGACACTAAGACCCCCTACGAAGCGTTAAGTAGGATAGATTTGCCCAAGAACTTGCACGTTCAACAGGAGTATCATCGATTTCATCCAGGTGAGACATCTTGTAGAATTTACAGAATTATTGCACTATTCTATGATACACGTGTATAAGTATTTAAGTGACAATATTTTTTTGACAGATACCGATACATTATTTAACGGCAAAACGGCCTTCCCGAAAAGTTCTACCCTTGTGACCAGTATCAAGTATAAAAAGAAATATCCTGGGCATAAGCAAGACAATCCATGGTTGGACGAGCAGATGAAGATATAAATAATCTATTGTCAGATAATTATAATCGCGACAAAAGTGTTGTTAGACAATAAATTTGTTAAACAACGCAGATTGTCTAAATTAATCTATTATTTTTGTAATTTTTCCAATGGCAAATGTCTTGCTACAACGTTTATATTGCAACAAAATTGCGCAATATTACAATTTACAATCACGAAACATTTCTGTACTATATGGATATACTGACGTTTCCTTTGGGGGTCATCGTTGTTTCCAGGGGAAAACAATATGTAAGTTTTGATTGTATATATCATAGGAAGACGAAAGAGCCGCGTATGTGATCGCGTAACCACGGATGCGAGCTTCCCCGATCGACCCATCGGACGCGCGTAGCAACGTCCCGATGTAGTATCAAGGTAACGAACAGACGGAGCGCGATTTATTCAGCGCAAAGTGTGTGCTATAGTATTCTACGACTGTAACAGCGAGTACGTCGTTTTTTAAAAAGCGATCTATTATCGTAATCGAAATGCCCGGGATCGCGAGTGCAACCGGTCTTCTCTCCGCGCGAATTCGGCCGGTTCGCAGACCGAAGCCTAAGGTAAAAAAAAAAAAAAAAAAAAAAATGCCAACAAAAGTGGGCGCTACGTGCGTCACTTCATATATCAGCCTTTCATTATTTATTTAGAGATTATATATACGTAGAACGTGGAATTATCGGGTTGTACCAAAACGGCGCCGTTTGTCCTTCGACCATTCGCTGGACTCTTTAATCCTTATCCTTATGGTTGCTCGGTGCTGTGCAACCATCCGGCGGACTGCGAGGCGAAGGAGGTGGTTCGACGCGCTAAAGATACATGGGTAAAAAATTCATCCACCATTGTGGAGAGAGAAGATAGTATTACGAAATCCCATTAGAGTGATATGAAACTCTAATGTATCTCATCTATATTTTATACTGTAATATAGTGACAATTGACAGAACTGTATTAAGCAACTGTTTATACTAAGGCTAGCAGAGAAGTTTGATCAAAATTTATTACTTTCTCTCTCCAAAGATTTCACATATTCCTTTGTGTATTGTCATGTAACAATAGTCGTCCTTTTTTCTTCTATTTCATAATATGAGGCAACCGAGGGGAAAGCTCTTTTACTGCCGGAGGAGATGGAGATGATACGAACGAGTCTGTTGGCGGTGGGCGCGGGCGGAAATAGAGGCGAGATAATGGCTGGAAATGTCGGAGGTGACATCGGCGATGGATATAATACCGAGATGATCGCTTCGGCGGTGCCCGAGGAGCTCTT